TTGGTTCTTCTTCGACGAATAAAATTCCCACGGGATAACCACGATCGCGTCGAAAATGGAAAATCACCGCCCTCCGAACGGTCCCTTGGGCAGCGTCGAAAAAGAAACGCTCCGAAATTCCCGCCGAGCCGTCCAATTCACGACCAAACAAGAACACCTTTGCGCGTTAACCGCCCGCAGATCCTCTCCGGTTGGATCGCGTGGAAAATGGAAAAATCCCCGACCTGTAAATTTCTCACGGAGTAATCAGTTTTTGAAACAAAAAAACCATTGAACTTCCGCAAATTACTACTGAAATGCCGTAGGTTGTGTCGATAAGTTCAAAAGCTCGAACGGTGCAAATTCGCAGGACATTGAAAAATTTCGATCCACCGATTTTCATTAACACTTTGCATGTACATTGCAAAGAGGCTGGATTACTTAAATACCGTTACAAAATTAGTGAGTAAAAAATTAATATCGCAGTATAATTTAACCCATTTGTATCGTTAGCGTATACAGGGTGTTCCGCTTAAAACAGGCCACCTAAATATTTTCTCTATCTGTGATCATACGAGAAATATTTTTTACGTAATTTAAATGGTTTCAAGACACGAATTAGATGGTAGAAAAAATTATATGAGTACATTAAAATTTTTAGAGTTCAAGGTCATTTCAAGGTTATACTATGTCATACAACAGGAAAAATGATGTGCACATACGTAAAAAAACATGGGTGACCTTGAAGAAACCATTAAAAAATGACACTTTTAAACAATTTTGGCCGCCATCCGATTCGTTTCTTGAAACCATTTAAATTACGTGAAAAATATTTCTCGTATGATCACAGATAAAAAAGATATTTAGGTGGGCTGTTTTAAGCGGAACAGCCTGTATACATGCCCAATTTGTCTGGTCACTATCACAGAAGCGTATATATGTATATATACGCGTATCACATTGTACAAAACAATTACTCTAGATTGTTCAAATCAATGAAATATTACATTTTTTTATACTTTCTGAGATATTTGTAATCAAAATTCATAAAAAAAATTTCGTGTCCAGAGTTTATTTTTAATTTATTTCAAATGATGCAAGTGGGTTAAAACAAGACGAATAACCGTTATAAGCTAAACTCATATATTTTCGACAATTTATGACTCAAAAAAATGAAACAAAGTGTGTCTGGTTAAGTACGACTTTTTTCACTGTGGCAGTCAACGTGCTAAACAGAGTCGGGCACAATTTTATTCGAATAATGCATAATGAAACTGGCGGTGACTAAGATCGTCATCGAGACTTTTAAATAACTACTGAAATAAATAATTGTTTGCCAAGTTTCTACTCATTCAAGAAGAAAAATTATTTTATTCTAAAAATTGTAATTTCCACGGGTAATCAATCAGAAATGGCAACGTACTTTTTTGTTTATCTTTTATTCGTTATTCCAAACTGCTTTTTCAGATAATAAATTTGCCTCTGGTATTAAACGGCAAAACTCTCTCATGCCACTCATAAAAAAGAAAAAACGAAAAAATCATCAGGTGTTAGGACCTCAGGCGTTATCGATTTGACGGAAACTGGTCTCGAAACGATGTCTTATCGCGATGCAAGAATAACTGTAATCGACGTGGTTTCCGTATTATTCATTGTTACGGTCGCGATGATCCAGACATTGCGAATTCGCGTTCACGGCAAACGAGCGTGCACAGGACTTTCAAATACGCGCGGATGATTTACAAGCGTTCGAATCGTTCGAGTATCGCCGCAACGGCGATTTCACGGCTATTGGGCCGCGTCCAATACACCGGCGACCGTTCGTCGTCCGCCATTTTTACAGGTGGGACCACACCGCTGACAATTGCTCCGGCTGAAAAACGTTGACGCAAGGTTTAGTCGGTCTTAATTAGACACGGAATCGGCGGATACAGGCGATGCACCGTTAAAGGGTGTGTTCTGGCATTCTACGGACGATCGTCGGATAGAAGGTCACCTGTCCAGGAAAGGGATTTAATGGCCCAGCTGGTTTGAATGCTTGGGAGTGGGCTATACAACGATTCAGGTGATTCGAAAAGTTATTCGCATATTTCGTGGAATGCAATTGTGACGCAATGTTACGCGTACGGTCCAGGGATTTATACCGGGTATTATACCGGTATTTTCGGTTGTACCTTCGCCCTATACAGGGTGAACCACGAATCGTGATCAGTAGAGATTACTCTGTTATTAGCATCTCGATCGAAAATGTTTTTTCTGCAAAAAATTGTGGATGCGTGCTCATCAGAATTGTGGATGCGTACTGTAAAGAACTGTTATGTTTCCCCACCAATCAGAAACGATCATGAAAAATCGCGAATCACTGTGAAACATCATCGTGATTGGGAACGAACGTGATTCACAAGTAGCAGTTAACGCCATCTGTAGTCGCCATCTGTAACCAAAGTTCTGATCCAATTGGTGGGTTGACCGAACTACCACGAGATCCTGCGTGCCCATTGGCTCACGTTAAAGTAGCGTTTTCAGGAAAAACCCGTCTCGAGAGCCCCGGACCGCTACTTTAACGTGAGTTTATTGTACTTTGTCGATTGTATTCTGCTGGTAGAATCGAGTTTTGAGCGAGTGGTTGATAGTTCAGGTTCCAACGAGGAAATCTGATGCTTTATGAATACAACAAATGCGTAAATAGGCTACTGAAAATCTTAACCCTTTCATTCCTAAATTATCTAACAATTACGAGAAAATATTTCTGTTTGTATTTTTGTCTATATTACACGACATGTAAATGATTCACAACAATATTTCAACATTTTGAAAGCGTTTAGTGCCGTTTCTCATTCGTTGCCATTTGGCAATATTTTTTACTTCTATCACAGTTATGTATAATAATTGACGTTATAAAGTTATACGTAGTCAAACCTATTTTTGTTGCCTTTGATCAGTGAACCCTCTTGAAATATTTAAAAGAAATTACGATTTTCTAAGTTCTTTTGTGTTGCTAACAATACTCAACACATGGATTCCAGCAAATAGAAGAGATAATGTTTTATTTTACGGCTAAGATTTTAAAAGCATACAAAAATTCCTGTCATGCCATTTATATAAAACCAGAAGAAACTATTATATACTCACAGATATGAAAAAATATATGATAGTAATATTTTATTCCGTAATTTAGAATACGTAATCATATGGCAACAGTGGTAAGGAAAGGGTTAATAAAGTGTTCACAATCTAGTGAAAGCGAAAAACTGCCAATATTGGTGCTACATGTTAGTTTACTAAAATAAGTACTGAAGTGCTTATTGGTCGACCTAATAAACAGCTTGGAAGTAACATATTTTTTATGTGTGTTAGTTAACAATAATGTAGGATATTAAGGTGACAATGATCAGTGATAGCAAGGTCTGGAACTTGTACTCATACGTAAGACTGCCATTGTAACCCTCGCGAAGGTCAGCAGCCACAGGCTTTTACAACACAAAACCTGCTATAAGTAACTCAGAGGCGAGGTCGAATACAACATACGTTTACATAAATTTATTTTGTTGTCTCTGAGTGGCAAATCGATTTCTCAACAAGGTGATGTATATATCACGGGTCACTGGAGTCAAGTATAGAAATGTTAGTTTTTGCATTAACGTCGTAAAATCGCACTAATCGACTGTTGTACCTCGATAAGATGTTCTCGAATATTTCCTCCCTGAATCGAGGATACGTCGATTTATGGCTTCTCTTCTGCCTTAATACGGACATCTAAAAATTCGTTAAACCTTTCGTGATATTGGGTAATCAATCTCCTTTTTAAAAAGGTCGTTTTAACGGAAGTTTTAGTTTAATGGGAACTTTGATTACAATTTACGGTTCATTGAGTCCACTATTTCATTCTATTTTGCATAACATTTGTCCTACCTTCCGGCTTTCACTATTACGCAAAACGCAGTGAAATGAAAAATTTAATAATATTTGCATGATATTATTAATCCAATAAAATCCCCGACATTAATATTCATCTTCGTAAATTCAGTCTCTGAACCCGTGAATTCACATAAACACCGTCACTAAGTTCATCAATTTCCTTCCAATTAAATATAATATTTCTAGAAATTGCTCCTGTAACTCTAACTTTCATTTGTTGTCAACAACCAGAATTCTTTTCAGTTACTTCAACTTTTAAAAGCATTAAGGTACATTTATCCTAAAATTTACCGTTTCTGAGGTATTCGACTTTGTTTATCTTATTAGTTCCTTCATGAAATATGTTCGAAGTGTGTACCACATGCAATGTCAAGTTTACATGCAATGTAAGTTTTAGGATAAATATACCTTAATACTTTCATACTTAGAATTCGCTATTCTATCGAAGTAAAGCATAAAACCTCCGACATTCGATTTAAGAAAACAAAATTGACTTCTATATCTCCTTTACGCATTCACTTGTCAAGAAATCATTATTACCATATCATGTATTTCTTTACTACCTACAACTTTTATTAGTACAACATTTTCGCATATTTTTTTAAACAACGAAGATATTTCAGATGGACAGAGTTCGTGGGACACACTGTATATTCATATGACATTTTTTACTCACATCAGTTCATAGACTTATCCCTTGAAGTAGTGACATGTATTTATGAATCACCCAGTATATCCCAACAAGTCCATGAACATTTTACAATCTACCATCAAACTATCCTAGAAATGGTCCCAAGCAATTAGGTCTTTCTATCTTCCCACCTAAACAACACAAACACCCAATTCGATACCAGTCGCCTAAAATCCTCCAGTTCCTTAAAACACGTTTCATCGACGGACGGTTCCTGCCCAACGATTCCCCAATTGTCACCGATTTCTATAGTCTTTCTCGTTTATTTTTTCGTTCGTTCAGGTGGCCGTGAGGAGGTCAGCGACGAACAACGGCCGATTCTCGTTCTGTGGGGCCGATCCTCGAGGGGAGGCGAGAAAGGCGGCCCGGTTGCGGCAGGTCACGAGGGAACGGGTCTTAAGGATGGCCCACATTATCCGGCCTTATCGGTGAGAGAACCGCCGCTCGGATCGTAGTGGAAACAGACAGCGAGAGGAGCGGCCGAGATAATAGCGGGGATAGCAGGAAGAAAAAAATGGGGCAAGCGTGGTGCAAGGAGAAGTCCTCGAAGGCTGAGGACTCAAAGTCCCCCCTGGATCGGGTCTTTGTCCGGTGTGCCCATCGGGTATGTGAAAATTATTTGTCATTTCTTTACCTTTGTTATAATACGATTGGAACAGGAAAGGAAACTCGGTACCATTTATAGTGGACGATCAAATTATTCGAGCTAACTGCGTACATCGACGATTTTACGATTTAAGGTGTATTTTTTTTATAATTACGTTTGGGTTTTGCTCGTGTGGATTATTAAATTAAATTGTGAAAATATATATAAAGACGAAAAAATACATATTATATTGTTGTATTTAACCCTGTATATTCGGACACCTTTTTGCTGTTTAGAGATGGAATTTCAAAGAATCTTGAAATTACTTTTCAAGCATTTGAATAAGTAACATTTTAAAGTAAAAAGCAGTGGGATATTTTATGGAGACTAAGAAATAGTAAAGAGTCCCAGAAAATACATTTTACCCCTTTTTGACCCCTTTTGAGGTTGAATTTCGACAAATCCTTCTTTAGTGGATGCTTACGTCATAAAAACAATGTAACTTTCAAGTTTCACGTTTGTAGGTTAAACGGTAAGAGCTGGACGGTGATGAGTCAGTCAGTTAGGGCATCTTTTATATGTATACATATAGATAAGCTAAGTTACATTCTTTTGGTGCATTTTTAGCGGGCAATTGTTAATTAAAAGTTATCCAGTGTGAAAACCTTGATGTTGTGATTTTATGTCTACATAAAAACACAGAAAAACGTATTTTTCGTTCTGTGGCTATAATAATTTGATAATTCGCTACACGTGGGATCTAAAGAGCCCATGTCTCAAATCGTCCAAAGTGTAGTACTGTAAAAAATGTCTTGATGAGACTGTTAACAAGGGATTCTTAAATTAAAGTACTTTTTTTTAGTACGATACATTAAAAAAATAGACGTATATAATGAATAAAAAATATAGAAGTATATACAGGGTGGACCACAAAACGTGATCAGCTTAGATTATTCTACTGCCAGCTGTACGATCGAAAATTTTGTTGGCTAATACAATATGATTCAAGGAAGATTTTTAGATAATTGTACCAAATATTTTGTCAACCTTTTGTTTCAGAGTTTTCTATGTCACCTTCAGACTTTTAAATAAATAAATCAATCATTTTTGTACGCTTATCTTTTAGCGGATATTGAGACGAATTCAAAATTATAGGATATTTTTGACCAAATAGCTAATAGTAGAATAATCTAAGCTGATCACTAGACTGCGGATTTTATGGATGTATAGCCAATATGATTGTTTAAATCTTAGTATACAACAATTTTTAATAAACTTTTATTAGGTATTTGTTTTATTTGGAACCTTTTCTTTAATAAGGTAAAGGAATCTCTGATGCCAGTTTTTGTAAAATAGATAATAAAAATCTATATTTGCATAAAGATCCGCAGTCTACTGATCACGTTAATAATATATAAATTGTTCAGTTTGTTAATTGCGATTTTTTCAAAAAATGCATCGCAATTCCAGTACAAAAATCGCCCAAACTTCGATAAATTACCCAATCTGGCAACACTGGCCATTATCATCGCGTGCCGTAAGGAAAATTCAAATAACCTATTACCCGTTTGCCGCTCGTCGGACACTTATGTGTGCTCACGCGTCCCGTGGCTTAATCATTGTGCATCGAACGCGAACGCCGCTCTAACTTGGAATCCGAGACATGCAGATATGCGTGTAATTGCTAATTAACCGAGTGACGGTCCTCTCCCTCCCTTGTTACACGATGCACGCGAGCGCGTGACGCAAAAAAGTAACCGAACTCGTGGAAACACGTGCCTGTTTTGCTTGAAGTTCAACGCTGCGAGCATAATGGAGCATTTCTAAAGTGACTGGATCTTGTTAAACAATCGGGAATCGACAATATTATTCTGACGTTGGGACAAATGATTCATAACGTTAAATTATTTCGATATAGTTTACTTAGATAGAATAGAATGTTACTGTAAAATTGTAGAAATTCGAATTTACTGCACTACATAAGAATAGTTGAAGAAATTCTTTGCTTATTAATACATAAGATATTCTTTCATATACTTTGCAATTATATCAGGGACAAATCATGTGTTCAAACGTTCATTTTTCGGATAAATATTAACCCTTAACTGCAAACTTGAAACAAATTTTGAATTTTTCTTTCACTGTCCCCACCTAAATAGGGTAGATGCCCTAGTTACTGCCACCTTAAGATTGTAGCCGGACTTCGTTTAATAATTTTACGCCTTGTTTAACCTAAAAGTCGTCTCAGTTTGGAATGTAACACAAAAAGAATTGTTTTATACATTAAATATGAAGAATTAATAAGTAATTAAAATCTGCGAGCAATCCCAGTGGTTCTATTATTGTCACCTCGGAAATTAAAGTAATTCTTATATGCTTTAACAATTTATTTCGTACCATAGATACAGGTTGGATAGTAAAATTACGGCTCTTTCTTTGGTATGATTTCACCATCACTTCCTACTTACGTAGGCGCGTTTCCGACGTTGAAATTGCACTTTCGTTATTCAACATTAATTTTTAAATACCAGGCATGTACATACAGAGTGTTCCTCTTAAAACAGACCACCTAAATATGTTCTCTATCTGTGATCATACGAGGAATATTTTTTACGTAATTTAAATGGTTTCGAGAGACAAATCGGATGGCAGCAAAAATTTTTGATAATCGTCATTTCTGAATGGTTTTTTCAAGGTCACCACCTTTATGCACATAATCTTTCCTATTGTATATTATATCGAACATTATTATGCATTTATCCTTGTATAATAGTATGACCTTGGAATGACTTTGAACTCTAAAAATTTTTAATTTACTTATATAATTTTGTCCACCATCTCATTCGTATCTTGAAACCATTTAAATTAGGTAAAAAATATTTCTCGTATGAACACAGATAATGAAGACATTTAAGTGGACTGTTTTAAGCTGAACACCCTGTATATTTCTCGGCTTTCATATATATTAGGGTTCCCATTTTAATAATAAAATTTTCTATACAAAATTCTTTACACGTTACGTTTTCATTAAGTAAAATAAATGCAGTAGCACGATTGGGGACACTGGCAGTAATTGGGCCATTTATCCTAGTAGAGATTTTTTGAAACTCTAGGCCAGCGGTTCCCAACCTGGTGTACGCATACCCTAAGAAGTACGTGCTTGGTATTTTAGGGGTACTCGAAAAAAAAAGAGTGAAATAACAGCAACTATATAAATTAAAATTATTTTTCGAATATTCTAGACTAATATTTACAGGAACCGCCTGCTCTAGGCGATTGAATACCTTCATTATTCCGAGACGATAACAAAAACTAACATTCGGTTGGTGGTTAAAAGTGTTAGAAAATAAGTCGTTATCGGATTATTCATCTCTGAGACGAATCGTCTGCAATTAAGGGATAATGTCGTTGTCGAACAATCGTGGAACAAAATGTCCCGAATTCACTTCCAATTTCGACTTCCTGTCCGCCCCTCCCTCTCGAGCATTGCGCGGCCGTCCACCCTTAAAAACGAAATTCTTCCCCGTCTGTACTGTATGCGATTAAACAGTGGTTAAATGTGTAATGCAAGAGTAACGAGCATGCTAATGAACCGAAACAGACACACGTAACGTTCGCTATTACGTAACCCATCATGCGAAATGCAGAGCGGAATAATGGGACTCCATTGCAAATGAAAAGTAATTAATTATCTCACGTGTATCGGGCTCGATTAGCACGGTTCCAAGGAGGTCGTGTCGGTTTTGTATATGCGGGGCACGCGTTTTCCCCCTCCTCCTTTCGCCCCAATACCGATCACAGTTTCGTTATTTTTTCTGGCTCGATTCTTCTCTTTTTTATTTCTGCCTGGTTACGTGAAACATAATTCGCGTGTGTATATACATTTTGCCACAGTCCGCTGGCTGTTTCACGCCCGACTCGTTCCGATTCAATGGCGTTCCGCTCGCGGTTTCCTTTTCACCGTTAAATATATGCGTGCACGCGACTGTGGGAATAATAATCACGCTGACGGTTTTATTCGTGTATCATCCGTTCGTCGTTTTTTTTTTCCCCCTCCTTTGCCCATTCTGTCGAAGCTTTATTCTCGCGTATTTATTCTACCACTGAATACTTCGCGGCTATTCGCAGAAGCAAGCGGAGCTGGTTTTGACTTAATTCTTTTGGACGAGATTCGTATGTTATTTTGCGACGTTTTTGAGATTCATTTGGATGTACCGGGGATGATCTAGGAAAGACTGTTGGTTGAAATTATTTGTTAGTGGTGCAGGGTGACGAATGCAGAAAATTGTTATATGTGAGAGATTATTTAGTATTTAGTTTTGGTACGTATAAGAATATTACCATTACTTATTGCGTGTTCAGGGGTACCTGTGGTAATTATTGTGTATTAACTATACACTATGACAACAGGATAATAGTGTATTAACCAATGTTAAAGTACACATTTTTCTTCGTAGGGTTGTTCTATTTAATATCATTTATAATATTTATATGAGAAATCGTCTGAACTTTTGTGTGCTTTTCAGTAATTATTAATGTAATTCACTGGTAAGTTTTCTGGCCACTAGTTCCATTTCAGAAAATAAAAATTTAACTCTAGGTTATTAAACTATCCTGTGACTTACGTTATTACTAATCATTCGTAAAAATTACAATTAAAAGAGAACCAATTAAAAAAAACTCATAATGTTTTGGAAAAATTATTTTTATCGAGATAGAAACCTACGATATAACTATCTATGATAGTCAGACTTAAAAATAATGAAAAATTAGGATAGTATAGTAAATCATCGATGAATGTTCGAAGACTCCTCGACACTAAGTGTTCAGGCGTCATCTCCATCACTGGGAGGTTCAAAAAGTCAGAACAAATCAAGCACTCAGTGGTGGAGATGACGTCTGAACACTCAGTGCCGAGGAGCCTTCAGACACTAATCGATGATTTACTGCACTTATTCAGCACAAGCTACATACACATCAACATCAACACGATTCCTCAGAATCGTAAATTCGAGGTC